GGGGGGGGGGGGGGGGGGGGTTTCGCGCACGCGCTATGATGCTGTTTACTTGGCAGCTGAAAATACATTTCCTCAAAGGTATTTTGAATGTGTAAAGAGCTTCACTAAGTGAGAACTAACATTGAGAGCTCAGCAGACAGTTAGGTTTCACTTTCACTTTGCTCTGTTACTGCCGAGAGCCTGTAGGAGTCATGGGCGGGGTGTGTGGGGTGGGGAGGTGTATGGAAAGCCAGCAACGACAAATCTACGTGACCATTACGCGTCCATTTGACGCGTAAAATGATGCGCAATGCGTCAACAACGCGTAATATTAAATTTCGACGCGTCAATCACGTGTTGTTGACGCGTTGTTTGCACATCATTTACGTGTCAGACTAACATGTAATGTCCACATAGATTTGTCAGTGCTGGCTTTCCATACAGGTGTGCTCCGTGATGAGGTAGCTCACACGTCCCAGGGACGTTTCTGGTCTCCACCTGTCGTTTTGCTCCTCAGCATGGCTTCATAAAAATGCTGCAGGATTTCTCAAACATGATGAATGAGTCAAAACAAGGCTTTGAGCATGTTTTTATAAGAGTATAACATTATAACATTAAATAAAACTCAAAAAAGTTGATTTTACATGATATTGTCCCTTTAAAATTACTTGCATATACTAGTTTTTGCTAAGGGTAGTACTATAAGTAATCATAGAAAACTTTAAAAATGGTTAAACTAATCTGTGCAACAGTCTGAAGCTCATAAACATGTTCTGTTTGTGGGAATCAGAGGTTTATTAACTACTTAAAAGAAAAAAAAAAGAAATGATTTGGGTAAAAATGAGTATTTTACCTGAGTAAATATATTTAGTTCCTACAAATATACCACCTTTGTCCAGCTGGAAGTCATSTTAAATTACGAGCTGTGCTGAAAGAAAAGCATAATTGTCCCACTGAGGCAAGTTTTGCAAAAAGAAAAACGACAAYCAAGAATAGAAAACGTGTCGAAGAAACAAACAAAAACAGACAATTTATTCATGTATTCACAGCTAAAGTCATCTCAGGGTGCCATCGGAACTGTCACTCATGCTGGATTTGCTCCCTCGCGTGCCCTGGAGTCCTGATGCTTTTTGATTTGTTGTCAGGCCTGGGAGAGCCCACAGGGACACGGCTGCTTCCTCTGCTCTCATATCTGCTAAGTGGAGCTTCGCTGGCAGCYATCGYCCAGGATATCTAATCCAGYCTCACTTTAAGGGATCGGCAAGGGCAATTTTCTGCTTATGGACACTTCTTTCATTTCTCAGCGCGCTGAGTGAGACCACAACTTCTGACCCGAGTGTCACAGAGTGCKTTAACAGCAAAGACAGTCAGGGAGGAGATATATATTTATATATAAAGAAGAAGAAGAAGAAAGAGGAAAGTGAGCGTGCTGAACAAACCGACAGAGTCGGGCTTTAATGGATGCTGGCACCCCACYAGGAGAGCACGGCTCAGTGGAGTGACCCACTAACCAAACAAAGGAGTGATGATTTCTCTGCTTCCTCGTAGGCCCAGCGAGGCCGCCGACGCTCAGGCTCGCTCAGATAAATGAAGCATTCAGGGTTTTASCACGAACAAACAATCAGCTCCTTTTTGTGCCTCAAATATTATCAGAGATTCATGGCTGCAGATGAGTTTGCTGTTGCTGCTGAGAGAGAAAAAAAATGGATAAAAAGAGAAACATGAGAGGAAAAAACATGTTTCATTTTCAGTTTTCACAAACCACTGAGATGACTTTCTGCTTTCTGATATATATATATATATAAGTATATACAGTTTTATTTACAAGAACG